CCCCAAAACCCCAAAACCCCAAAACCCCAAAACCCCTAAATTATTTTAAATTGTTGATTAATACTCTTCCTCAATGAAATGATTTGGCTCTATTTTCTTGGCATATCCTCCTGAGAGAAGTCTGTCTTCAACGGTGTCACCCTCTGGTCTGATAGAGACAGCTAATTCAGAGGATCTTTGACTGACATAAGGAGTGAATGCGTACTCTTCCTCCCTTGGAATTCTGTCTTTGACTCTTCCAGCATTTATCAAAGCACTTCTTTGTGTGGGATTCAACTTTTTGTATAATTGTAGTGAGCATTCGATGAAGTCCTCCTTCGATAGGCTCACATTACTCTCTTTAATCTCTTCAATCAATGGTTCAAAGAATTCCTTTAGCTCTTGGTTGAGCTTGTCGAAATCACAGTTTTCATTGGATATAAATCCATCATTATTTCCGTCAAGGACTTCAAAAACGTTCATGAGGATGTACCTCTTCTTTTTTTCTAAGATTTCAACAGAGGTTGTTTTTATGTTGACAAGTTTCTTTTGCCTCAGATTCTCTTCCTTTCTCTTATTTCTTTCTTGGTTCAGCCTAGTGCCTTCCAAGATGAGTCTGTCATGGAGGGGAATTTCTTCATTTGTCTGGTTCTTAGGGCCTCTGGAGATGACAGGCTTGAAAGAAAAGCTGTTATCTTCCTCTCTTTTCTGCTTGTTCTCCCGTTCTGTATGCTGCTTTGAGTACACCATTTCATCAATAGATCTTCCCTTGTAATTAGATTTGTAGGTTGACTTTCTAAGAATTATAGGCAATTTTACCTTTGAGGCTTATCTTTGGTCTTATTTCCCTTTTTCTTCTCCATTGTCTTTTCTAAGTGCCTAAATTTGGAAGGCGTCTTCATAGCAAGCTGTTCATGGACAGATGCTGGTCTATCATGGATCTTATTCTTCATAATTTCTTGGCTTATCATGCTGATAGTAGGGTTGAAAGTATGTTCTTCGTAGAAAGTTACTTCCTTTACATCCCTAGCTCTAGCGTAATCAGCTTCTGTCTTGTATTGTTCCTCCAATAAGCTGTCAGCAATGACTACTTTATAAGACCTTTTGTAATATTTATGAGAGACTTCATTAATTTCAGGCTTGAAGGGATATGATTTCTCTTCTTCCTTCTTCTTTTTATTCTGCTCGAGCTTAGACAACCTGCTATTTCTTTCTTTGTTAATCCTCGACTTTTGGTAAAGTCTTTCACCGAAATTGACTGGAGTATAGTCTTTATGCAATGCCTTTGACATCTTTGGTTTCTTTTCTACAGGTTTCTGGGTTTTCTTAGAAGTAATAATCTTCTGCTTGGCATCGGTTGCAAGTCTGTTGTACACAAGATCTTCAGTACCAACTCTGAAAGTACCAATTTTGTTTGTGGTTTCATTAATATCAGGAATAAATTTGCTCTTCATATCAAGATATTTTTGAGCGACTCCTCTAATAGTGTGAGGCTTCATTGGAGTGTTGGTCTTAATATTCAGCCTCATATTTCCTGTATTCTCGACTTCATTATATTTCTTGCCTGATTCTGGGATATTTCCTGAGTAATCTTGATATTCTTCAGAAACTTCATTGATGCCATTTTCTGGGTTGTCTTCGAGTTCTTCAATAATTTCTTCTTCTGGATGCTCACCTTCTTCCTCTTCTCCTTCAGCTTCAATTTCATACTCTTGGGACTCCTTGCGGGGTTCTCCTTCTTGGATATTCTATACTTTGAATTTGTCGAACTTACATTGCTGAAAAATTCAGAATTTTGATCCTCAACTTCATTTCTATCAAGATTTTGAGAATTTGTTGCTGCAGGAACTGTTGAAAACTCTCCTTTAGGACTAATCCTTATGCCTCCTTCTGAATAAGTGAACTCTAGAGGAATTTCAAGCTCTGCTTCGTCATGTTGAGAAGCAGTCCCTTGGCTTCTCTCCTTCTTGAGTAGCTTGGATTTGGCTTCATATATTGTACCCTCAATTTGGTACTGAAGCATATCCTTTAGACCACTTTCATATTGGTGTCTTTCTCAGAACTTTTCAGCTACTTCTTGAGGATTATCATTTTCATGGATCGCTAGTTGCTCATTCCTTCCTTTTCCAATGTCAATTGTGATGATAAGGAGCTTTCTGCCTCTGGGGTTATAAGAAGTAGCAGAAAATTGAGTCTGATATTTTAAATCATCAGTAGACAGAGGAAGTGATTTATTAAACTCAGTTTCATTGAGTATTCTTTGAATCATAGTCTGGCTCTTCCCCTCAGTCATCATCTTCTCCGAAATATTCTCTTCAGTCACTTCAAAAATCGGCTCTTCAGTGATATGATTTTTAGCAATTTTCTAAAATCAACTCATTCAAACCCAAATTCACCTCTATAAAACCCCACAAACACCTCACTACCCCTCCTCTCTCACTCCCCCACTCTCCTTACCGCTAACTTCTCCTCTTCCTTCGAATCCTCCTGAAAAATCGGGTCGAATCCATACTGTCCTCCTACACCTTCCATTCTCTGCTTAATTTTTATAATCCAACTTCTGCACCCAAAATGGGGTTTTGGGGTTTTGGGGTTTTGGGGTTTTGGGGTTTTGGGG